ATGGTCAAGGCCCCTACTAAGTTTTTTTCAAATATCTCGGAAACTACTATAGCTATGTCAACCAAACTTTATAGAGTCGTTTGCTTCAATCATTACCATATACAGTTCAAAAATGGAAGAAATCGAATAATAAGCACGCTCACCTCCCATACAAAGGTTATGTTGAAAATCACTAAAAGTGCGTTAACCGACTAACGAAAAACGTCAGAAACACTAAATTTTACGGAAGAAATGGCAGAAGGAAGCTGCATCCAGGCTTTGTTTTTTAAATTGAAAATGGGCGTGGCGTCGCCCACTTATGGACCAAAAACCATATCACGGGAACTACTCGACCGATTTCAATGAAATTCGGTATATAATATTTTTTTTAACACCCCGATGACATGTACCAAAGATGGGTGAAATTGGTTCTCAACCACGCCTTCTTCCAATATAACGCAATTTTGTATTCCATCTGATGCCTTCTTTGTATAATATATACATTAGGAACCAATGATGATAGCGGAATAAAACTTTACACAAATACGGTATTCCTGAGGTATCCCTTGTGGAAAAATTGTCGTGATCGGACTATAACTTTCCAAGGTCCTTGATAGCGAATACGTAGAACTCAATGCCTAACCTAACCTAACCTAACCTAACCTAATTTTTCACCGAAATTATCGGTAAATCTCTGACATATTTTCATGTAATTCAGAGGACATAATTTTTATACTCTCGCAATAAAGTTGCTAATGACGGTATATATCGTCAGATATATGGTTACGTATATATATTACAAAAGTGATCAGGGTGACGAGTACAGTTGAAATCCGGAATTCTGTCTATCCGTCCGTACAAGCTGTGACTTGAGTAAAAATTGAGATATATTGATGAAATTTCTTACACTTATTTGATGGCATCATAAGAAGATTAAATGGGCGAAATTGGAGCACTGTCATCCCCACAAAATGGCGATAACCGAAAACTTATAAAGAGCTATAACTAAGCCATAAATAAAGACATGAAAGTTAAATTTGGTACAAAGGATCGCACTAGGAAGGGTCATATTTGGATGTATTTTCTTTCCGCCCCCTTCTAAGTAGTCGCAAACTACTAAAGCTATATTAACAAAACTTTCAGAAGTAATTTCTTGAAGGTACTATCTTAAAACGGAGGAAATCGGATCATAACCACGCCCACCTGTCATACAAAATCTACTAAAAATCTTTTAATTTAGTAAGGAGAAACACAAGAAGCCTTAAATTTCATGGCAGAGATGACACAGAGGGGTTACATTCAATTTTAAAATGTTCGTGTCTCCGCCATTTATGGGTCTAAAACCATATCTCAGAAACTACTCGACCAAATTCAGCGAAATTTGGTTCGAACCATTTTCGTATGGTTTGAAATTGGGCGAAATAATTCACAACCCGCCTACTTCCTATATACCACAATTTGGAAGTCCATCTGATTCGTTCACGTTATAGTATATGAGTTCAACACCAGTGAAGATAACGGACCAAGCCTTTGCACAATACTGTATTTCTAGTTTATCATATAAAAATCACCGAGATCAGACTATTTTATTCAAAATATATATAAATGATGGATAATGAAATCTCGGCCTTCCTTACTTGTTTTTATTTTTTTATTTTGAAACTGGACCAAGGCATGTAAAAATTTTCCATTGAAAATACATGACAATCGTGATTTTTATTTTTAAATTTCTATATATTCTATTTCATATTCTGCAGAATTTTACACTCTACAAAAGTGCCCAGTGCAACAAAGTTGTAACTCACTTCGGCGAGGTAGTATGGGGCTGTATTTACCTCGTAAATGACAAGAGCTACAGAAAAAATGTTCATGAAAAACTTGCAGGAAATTTTATTTACAAATAAGGTCTGGGCGATTTTGACGCTATCTTTAATACTTATCGAGATATTCGGCTTTTAAAGTAAGGCTGTATGGGATTTTTACAGGTAGTATGCCTTAAAAAAATATAAATATATATAACATATACATAAACATAAATAAAAAAGTACCCAGTAATTGTAAATAAAACGCAAAATATTTAATTGGTTATCAATATTTATTTCGTCGCCTTCAAATTAATCTTCACCAGATTCTTTCAGACCTGGAAACACTTTTCATAAGTACTTTTTGGGATGGTCTTCAGCGAATTTTGTTTAATTTTTTTTTTTTTAGGTTTCGATTCGTTTTTTCCCTCCATTCCGATGTTTAATGATTTAGTTGCATGTCATATTCATAAACTTATGTCTCAAGAATGCAGCTTTATGGGGACGAGCCCAACAAATTATTCCAACGGATTCGCGAGAGCTGGCGAACTCTCTTGCCATTTCTTTAACACTTGCCAGGCAATTTTCACGCAACGTATCCTTTTTAATATTTTCATCAGTTGAAGAGGACGAAGGTCGTCCAGAACGAAGCATGTCTTCATCGATCTCTCGACTGTCTTTGAAGGCTTTGTATCACTCGTCGGCTTGTGTTTTTAAGAATACTGAATCACATTTTGAAACTTTAACTTTGGCAATGATTCAGCATGCGAAATTTGTTAGAAATACATTATTTGCGAGAAATTCTTTCTTCGAAATTTTTATCCATTGTAAAAGTCGCAACGCAATACTGAGGTGTACCGACTTAAACCGGTTGACAGATCGCACTCAAGTAATTAAGGGCAGTGCTACCCACATAGCAAAGTACATTTTTTGAAATATCATTTACCCGGAAAATTTAATTTAACTTTTCGGGTACTTGCATATAAATTATCAGCGCGACGAGCTGAGGCGATTTAGTTCGTACTCCCGTATATATGCCAACTGGTTCCTCAGTTCTTGAAATAACGATCTGAAATTATTCACACTTCCTTCACTTCCCTAAGATCTATTTTTTTGCTGGAACTGTCGATATCGGACCACTGTAGTACCATATATAGCTATACAAACTGAATGATCAAAATCTAGTTCTTGTATGGGAAAWTTATTTATTTGTCGACGTTCTTCTCAAAATTTGGCATGAATTGTTAACCGAGTCAGTTTTGTGGACGAAAATCAAGTTTTCGTATAAAACATTCGCTTAGGAATTCGGAGTTATTAATTCTCTACAAATTACTTGGAGAATGTTTTAAGTTTAAACCAACCCAAAAGCAGTGTTTTTCAGATTTTGAACCGGAAGCCAAGCGAAGTTAAACGATGCATTATAATCGTCGTTTGAGAAGAACTTTTTGCTTTTTCGTGCCACATGGCTGCATAAATGCATTTTAAATAATAAACACAGCATTACTAGCAAATATACTGTGTGCAGTATATTTACACATGCTTACACATATATTATGTGTGTAAGTATATATGTATGTGTGCATTCAGGCACTTGTCTACACAACGCTTTGTCTCCTCAACTTATTCGCACAAAAGATAAAAAGTCATTGCTGCAGTTCGCCTGCAGACAAACGATTTAAAAATGCCATTTCACACACACACACACACACTCTTGCATTTGTAATGTAAGTATTGTTAATGTGCTGCGCAGCCAACGGGCAATGATCTGCGGCGGCTGCACCAACTATACACCATTGTTTGTGCGCATATTTTTTCGACGCTAGCTGCTCACACACACATACAAAAACTGTTGTTGGGCATTCGTGCTCATGTCTGCGTGTGTTTTAAGTTACATTTCTGCTGATTTGATGACGTGAAAACTTTATTTAACTCGCTGCTGCCTTTTGTGTGCTGCGTTACGCGCGCATTGCTGTTGCTGTTGTTGTACATATATTCTCGGAATTTCTTTCATTTCTCCGCTTTTTATGTGTGTGTGCGCGCGTTCTTCTTGCTCGCTTTGGCCAAAGCTGTCCCGCAGCTACAAAGCACATTTTTAATTTAGAGCTCGACGCTCAGGATGTGCTACTTAGCCCACAGCCCACAGCCAGCAGGAAGGATGAAAGAATGTGAAATGTGAAACATTTGGAACTGCTTTAGTGTGCGCCCATTTTGTTGTTGTTGTTGTTACATTCGTGTCATAAATTTTGAAATAAACTTTTCAACACAATTTTTTGTCGACTTTGCTTTTGTTGTTGTTGTTTTTTTTTTGTCGTGCATCTTCGCAATTTTGTCATTCCTCTGCACAACACTACGTGCTCTTGTCCTTTCACTCGGAAACAAACACACACACACACACACACATAAACACATTCATTATTTTTTGTTTGGCGAGTGTTGCCTACTTTCGGGCGCTTCGCAAACGCGCTGCCGTTTGTCGTTTGCCATTTCACATTTGCCTACTCATTTTTTATGCATAAATGTTTGCTGAAGTGTGTGCGTGCGTGCGAGTGTTGCCACTCGTTCATACTCCGCGCTTTGTTTGTGTTGCTGTTGCTGTTGTTGTTCTTGTTGTTGCAGTCATTGTGCGCGCCCCAAATGCATCAAGTGCGTTGTGAATTAAGCAAATTGCAATTACGTGACATTTTTTTCGGCAGTGCGCACAACAACAATAACACCAACTGCAACAATAACAATATAGCAAACACAACAACACCAACAGCGGCTTGATAAAAATGTAAAAATTGCCCACTTGACTGTCGGTTGTTTGCCTTTTGCGCAGCTGTGTTGATTTTAATGTTGCTATTGTTGCTGTTGTTGACTTAGTTGCAAATACAAATGCACACACATGCAAAGCAGAATATTTGCTTTTTTACACATAAATAAAAAGTGAAAAACGAAACAATGTAAATCAGAGGGCAGACAAAATGCGGGCGCCTAAAGTTTTGCTTGTAAATTTCGAAATGGTCTGCTACTGTAATTGCATTAAAAATAAAATTTTATATTTTTGCGACTCCGCATTGCATTTCATTTTTTAGTGTAATTGACCTGCTCGGAAACTTTGATGTTATACAAAAAATATGTATTTATTTTATTTTATTTTTTGTTTTACCCAAAGAGACATTTATTAAACAAATTTAATGCCAAATCTCTATTTATTTATACAGGGTGGTTTAGCCAGTAGCCAAATATGGAGAGTACGATAGATGCAGCAGAAGTTCATTGCCTAAATCGATCAGTTTAGCCGTGGCAACAGCGTAGGTGTGAGCCGGTGAGTTGTTATGTTATAAGAGCACTGCTTTGTTTTTGTTATGTCGAAAGAGCATATTTTTTTTTTACAAACATGGCCGTTAGTGATTAGACATAGTTGACTTCTGGGCTTTTCTTGAGTTATTCAAGGTTGACCACATTTTATGAATCCCAAAAAAGGCTGACTGATATCACTCACTTTTCTCTCCGGTAGGACAGTCTTCGTCTTATTTGTCTTGTTATTGTAGAAGCGGCCTTAAGTAATTTAAAAGAAAGCTACCGAATTCACAGTGCTTGGGCAGATAAAAATCTGTGCCCCTTTTCGTTTCGTAGACCCGACTGTCGTGGAAATGGGTTTCGCCTTCGGGTGAGCTGGTTCGCCGGTTAAAATCCACTGCTTCGCCGACGACTATCGTACCGGTAGCTTTCTGATGCCAAACCATTACCCAGATTATCGCTTTTGTTGAAACGGTTCAACGAAAACCGATATGTGATCCCACAAAATTCGTTCAGCCAATATTCCACAATCTTTTATATAGCAGTATAGGAGAAGAAATATCGGATACAGCATTCAAGTGCTTTTTGATTTCACTGCGGAATAAAAAATTAAAATTTTAAATATAGCTTTTATTAGGCTAGAAAATATGAATATGCCGCGAATGAGCTAATACTCTAAATCTTATAATTACTAATAAAAGAGAACAATTGAGAAATTCCAAACCATTACTTTCCCAAGCTGGTTGTGCCTCAGGCCATATAATTTGGCATTCACTTTCCCCACTCTTCCGAAATTAAAATTTTTGAAACTAACAGTTGCTAAGTGATAACTGTTTATCCCAAAAACTAAATAGTTTATGAAGTTTCTTAAATTCTAAAACACCAATCATAGGGAGTAGAGTCAGCCGGATTTTCGAAAATCCTGATATTAGTTATACAGGGCCTATGTCAAGTTTTCGCACAAATTAATTAATTTAGAATAAAACACGTTTTCTTATTTTCATTTGCACAACTCATATATTCGCCGATATTTTTGGTCACAAGTCAACTATAGATACTGGTGTCCAAATATTCCGTACGTAGGTGATTAAACGGTTTTTATTGGATTTAAACAATTTTCGAACATGACTGTGTATGGCAAAACATTATTCTTGCTTAATTTAATCTCGTTATATTAACTGCTTCTTGATTTGTGTACTTTAAACTGAACGAATCAAGTGGAATTTAAAATTGTGCTATATGGGAAGTAGGCGTGGTTGTTGCCCGATTTCGTGCATTTTTAGACTGTGACATAAGAACGTAAAAAGAATGCCACGTACGAAATTTAGTCGAAATTGGTTTATGGGGTTCCGAGATATGGAATTTCATCAATTCATTCACACCGGCCCCCATAAAGCTCTCTGATATCATCTTGGAGGTAAAATTTAATGTTTCTGGGATATTATTGATTTATCGCGCTTTTATTAATTTTCAACAGTACCCTCTCAATGTCGGTAGGAGTTATTATAAGATTAGATGGCGGGGCCACGCCCAATTTTAAAAATATTTTTGACTCGTGCTACTGCGATCTCCTATACCACATTACAGCTTTATATCTTAATTTGGTCCCTTTATATGTTTTGGTTAATGGCGATTTGTGTGCGTGATAGTGATCCAAATACGAACATCTACGAACTCTAAGTTTTTTTTTGTACTAAGAAATACACATACCAAGTATCATCAGAATATCTCAATTTTTACTAAGGTTACAGCTTGCACGGGCGGACGTATGGATGGATAGACAGACGCATGGTCAACTGGATTTCAAATTTTCTAGTCACCCTGATCATTTTTATTTATAGCTCTGAATCTATCTCGATTAGTTTTAGGTGATACGTACAACTGTTAGGTGAACAAAACTATAATAATTTGTAGCAACTGGTTGCAAGAGTATATTCCCTGCAACATTGCATACTATTTGTATCGAGGGGTCAAATTATTAGTTTGTAAGACCAAGCGATAATGATCTATATAATTTGATCTTAACTCTGGTGGGGGACTTAAATTGATAGACACCTCATCTGGTGAGAAATGTTTCTTTCTGATTTTATTTTCATATCTTAAGCCTTTATTTACAATTTATCAAACTATTTTAAATAAGTAAATATTCATATGTACAAGGTGCGTTAGAAAGTAAACACGACTTTAAAAAACACTGAATAAATGGTGTTTTCGGCTAGATCAATTTATTTTATTCTGCTTCATCTCACATACTCCTATGGTGAGCGCTATATTTTCTTCAAACTGTTTTCTCTTCAGCCAGCTTTAAACTCATGGTAGCAAACTATCGGCACAAACCATTTATGCAGTCATTGTATTTGGTCCGGTGGTCATCCAGATGCGTAGCCACAATTTCCACTATTTTTTTCACATTTTTCGGTTGATATATTCTCGCCACCCCGCAGTACATCAGGTTCCATAGTAGTGAGCCTAAAACAGGTTTTGGTTTTGGGACTAGAACCAGACGCTTTACCTTCCACGGGTTGATGAAAACCTCTTCTATTATACACGCATTGTACATTTTAACAAATTGTTATGGCATATATTTCAGGGGATTTGGAGTTCTTGATTTTTTTTTTCTCAATTGTCAATAGTTCTTCTTCTGTGACTAATAAATTGTCATGCTACTGTTTTTCGGTACACCGACTGTAAAAAAACAAAACCAGTTTTCCGGAAGTTTAATACTAATCTGTTTTTCCGCATTCAAAATAGGCGCCTTTTGAAACAATATGTAAAAGCATTTAAATCTACTATAAATATATATAATATATATATAATACCAACCCCAATGATCCCTGACCGTCAGTGCCTTCAGTGAATTTTGGTTTTTCGCTTTTAGTTCATTTTAGTTCCAGCGAATGATGCTCGGATTATTGGTCAGTTTCGACGTCATATTAATAAACCCACGTCTTGCTTCCAGTAATTATGCGTTTGATGAAAGTAGGGTTTTCAGAGATCAGACTTCATAAGAACATAAATAACGTTTTACTAATCTTGAAAACAAAAAAATAAGAAATTTTTATCTGGTATGCTTGTGCATTGAACATCTGTCCGGGTCAATTTTGATCAGGTGTTTATAATACGAGTATTTGCAAATTTTAGTTTAGATTTTTTCAATATTAAATTCAGGCATTTGCAACATATTGACTGAGGAGTATACATAAGTGTAGCAAAAAGAGTGATAAGGCTATTTTCGGTGACGAGCTGGCAAGAAAAAGCACTCTAGCCCCTTAGAATGGGAATGGTTCGGTGTTTTACTCTCCTCGAGTGTTCTACTACTGGCTAACGCTCCAACGCTCCAATAAAAACGCTCCATGGTTTCTGAATACAGCAAAAGCATCGGTGAAATCGCTGGAAATGAGAAAAAGAAATGCTATGATTTCCAGTTCTACATTACACATTATAGTATAAATTCTAACCAGATATTAAATTAGTTTAAACTTGAGCTGATTCTCAAAATATCACGAACTATCAATATAACAAAGGCTTTAAGAAAAGTCATATCCATTTTGGAATAAAATATTATCTCAGCACACCACAAGCCGACGTATAAAATGGCGCTTTAAGCAAACTAAATCAACAGAGTTATACTTGAGTAGTCGTGTGCAAATACACTACCGATAAAATAAATAACCCTTAACAAAATCAGATGTCTCGTGAGATTACTAAAAACCGAGCTACATTTAAGTTTTTTACAGTTTCCACGCTATTTCGCCGAATAAATGTGCATTTTCGTAGGCAACAACAACAAGACAAGCGTTAACAACGAACAAAAATAATCCATCTTGAAGCATTGAACAAATAAATGAATAAATTGCCATGCGAATGAATAGGCTCAGGCCTGCAACAAATGACAGCAGAAGACGAATGAATGCAGCGCTCAACTTACTCACACTGAAGAGCAAAATAAACTACCGCTATGTGAGCGGAAACAAAACCACACGCACACATCCCCACACACATTGCGAGCGAGACATGAGCGATCGGAGTGACACGTGAATGCATTTTGGTTAGCCAAGAACGTTGGTATAAATTGCAAATAACAGTTGAAGGTGAACCGGGTGAATGGCTGTGATGTGCGGCTTTTAAAACTTTGAATGGGTGCACACCATTTTTCTTCAATTTCCAAGGCTTGGCAGCGGGAATCAAGGCACAACCGCCTTCATCACCGCTACTGTCACAATCAATGAGGTCGCCGGCGCGTTGATGTTGTTTGACCTGATGCCACACACTCGGCAGTCAATCAGTTCCACATACTGAGACATGAATGGCAAATAGAAAACAAAAATGCTGTTGGTGTAGGAAGCGGAACAACAAAAGTTGCATGCAACGGCATTGGCGACGAAGTTTGGCCTCGTTGTTTAAAGTGCTGGAATTATTTATTTGCCCGCCGCCGCTTCGCTCTCCAAACACACACTCGCATATCCTCACATCTTCACACATATCCATTCAAATTTGCATACATTCACACATTGGCCTGTATGTGTAGCGTTTTTGTTGTATTGGATGTGCTAAGACTTTTGGCTTGTGGTCAGCAAGTTGGCGCAGAAGTTTTGTGTTTTTGTGGTATCTCGAAAGGAAGTGCCTTTTGTTGCTGCCTCGACGATTATGCACATTTACTTGACACAACGCACAACCACATTGGCCGCCTCACGTTTACCAGCATATGTTTGTGTGTGTGTGTGTGTGTGCATGTGTGCGTGTGCGCTTTGTCGCTTAAACTTTTCGGTCGGTCGTCGGTTAGCTAAACAGGAAATCTGCTTTTAATGTTCCAGCTTAAGTGAAGTTCACATAGCTCGGTTGGCGTGGCGTTGATTTATGGCGAGCACTTTGACATGTCACCCATACCGCAGGCAACAATGTCAACAACAACAACAGTAAGAAATTTATGTGTGGCACTCAGTTGTATATAATACGTCTATAGATATGTATATACTCATACATATATATGTTGATTATATATACATAAAATGCGAAGGGTTCTTG